GTTCACCTATCCAGAAATTACGAATCATTATCCACTGGGACGGGCCCGGTACCCACCGGCTCAACCTGAACTAACTAAGAAGCAGGCAGTGGCCTGGCGCCTTCTCCAAACCAACATGTATCCGAACTTAGTGGCCTGAAGCCGGTTCTACCCGGGACAGTTGGAAAATAGGTGTAAATTCTGTAGGAAGAAGGGGGATCTGCCACATATCTTATGGGCAGGCTCTCAGGCGGCACCGACCATTAATGGCCGCAAAATTCAAGACCGCGAGAATTGGGAGGCCCTACTACTCAGCTCAGACCCACAAGGTCAGGTCTGGGCCACCCGGCTAGCCGAAGAAGCCGCCGAGGTCCAGGAGATCTAGGCCGTCTTCTAGGACTGCGGTGGATGAGACGGCTGCAGCCGTTACCCCACTGACAGTGCTGGGACAATAAAGTTTTATTCTCTCTTCTCTCAATTTCAGCTAGCCTTTGTTCAAATTTTACTTTACTGATCGCTTCTCTACTCTCGAAAGATGCCCAATCCATATCCCCCTGTACTCCCTCATTTGGTGTATTGCCATGTGCAAAGCATCCGAAATCGACAGAAGCACCCCCGCCCCTAACCAGGCATAACATATTATAACTGAAGCATAGCGAACGCACGATGTGGACTGTGCTTCCTGTCTTATTATTCTTCATGTCAAGTTTAACAGTTCTTTTTTTAAATAAGCGGTTTTCTGTTAACTATTCTGCTTACATGTCATGAACGTGAAAAAAAGAAATGCTGCACCTGTAGATGATGAAAATAAAGAGTCGAAGAAAAAAACATGAGAAAAGACAAGTACACAAACACTGCAAAACACTGCTGTGCTCGAAACTCACTTTTAATATCCTAAAATGTTACGAAGAAAGCAGCCAAAGAAAGTTAATTACACTTAAAACACACATTGGTTGGTTATTTTGCTATATTTCTAAAACCAGCTAAATTGTTCTATCAAACTTCTTAAGCTTCCAATGTTGACATACTGACTTGAGACACTGCTCCTTCTAACGCTTGAAACTATTTTGACTAAAATTTGCCTTTCGAAAAACCTAATTGAAGAAATGTTAAGTACATAGATAAAACACATCTGCTAAAAAAAAATTAAAAAAAAAGAAAAATGTTTCCGGTATATTTACACGTCAAGACGCCATTAAGGGGGCAGTTACGATATTTTTTTTTAATTCCCGGCAAGATATCAGTGGTTCAGCTTAGATTTGTTAAATGTTTCCAGAGTACTGAATCCTATTAACTACGCGTACCACAAGTCAATCCCCGTACAATCCAGTTCTGATTGGCTGTTTTGACCTGCGGCGGAGGTTATCCGTCGGCCATTTTTGAAGATATATAGGTCCAAACTAAATACAATGTATATAAAACGTTTCCGCGCAACCATGGCTACGGCAAGAACTCACAAGGGGAAGCGCTGGGCATCGATGTGTTTGGACCGAAAGGAGAGTGCGTTGATTTTCGCTCTCTATTTTTTGTAGCAGGTAGCCGCTAATCTGGTTCGCCAAGGATTGCCGGCTTGTTTTCTCGCTACATTTGCGCTAATGCTGCGTTTCACAATCACAGCTCAGGCGCTAAGCATAACACTCGGCTTCGGTGTGTCTCGAAGCCAGAGATAGAGAAACGAGACAGCGAGTAGGCAAGTCACGCACTGCTCGGAACGAGGGCAAGAACGTTTATTTCAAACAAACCAGCGTCGCCTGAAGCCAGAAACGCGGATTGAATGGGTCACACGAGACCGATCACAAAACTGTACGCACTTCGCGTTGGCCGCACAGGGCAGCGCCATGTTGGGGATTGCAACTGCCGCACCACGACTCGGTTCTGCAGCGAAGCTTCTGACAACATTCAGTGACTCTAGACCTGCTTTATTCTGCAAATATTTAGTGACTCCCATAAACTCGCCCGTTAGTCCTCAATTTGCTTGACTGCTCCGTTCAACAGGTAAGCAAGCCGAATATATCGCGGTCCCGACGTCCAGTTTAGTCCGTCATCTGACATCGCCAGCTAATTGTGTGAGCAGACACGCAGCACCGTCCAGCATCGTGTACTATTCCATCACTGTTAACCCCTGCCTGCCACTGCCACGAAACGGGACCATACAAGCGGTGCGTTCCCGTCTGCCATCGTCTGAGTTCATCTGCTATTTCTTTGTGTCCTACCGTGTTTAACAGCTGCGAGTTCATAAAGGTGGCGCTCTAGCGTTCGAACACTCATGAGCCACGTCGCAGTACAAGTGCCTGTCAGCGTCAGTCGGTGTGTGGTAAAAATGATACAAAAGTCTAAACACAAAATGAAGAACAAAATATGCCGTTTTAACATTTATTTTGTGTTTATTTATTTATTTATTTAATCATTTTTTTTATTTACTGGAATACCTACATCGCCCTGTTCTGGGCAGTATTGTAGGGGGGTAAGGCAATACAAAACAATAGCAAGCGAGAGATATAGAGATACACAATAACTATTCTGATGCAGAAATAGTGGATATGACATTTTATGAGGACAATACAATACTTTGTACAATATATAAAAATAAAGTATAGTGACTGGCACTATTGTAAGAGCAAAGTGAAAAATTATTTCAACAGCAAGTTTTTTTAGGGCAGTAGGAAAGGAGGAATGTGCAGAAATGATGACATCAGTTGGTAAATTGTTCCACTCGTGCATTGTTTGTGGTAAAAAAGAGTGTTTGAATACATTAATTCTGCATCCATAATCACGTACTTTTATTGTAACGATCTGAACGCGGCGACACATTACTGGGTTCCTTAATCTAACGTTCTTTCTCGATGCCGGTTCTACCGTTAAGTATGTTGAAAAATAAAGGGATCTTAAGGTACCTTCTTCTGTCGTCCAACAGAAGCCATCTTAGATTGCGGCTTAATTCAGGTGATCGTTTAGATAAATTGTTATTGCCGGAGACGAACCGAGCTGCCCGTTTCTGAATACGTTTGAGTTGTTCAATGGTGCTACCGGTATGCAAATGCCATGCGGCGCACGCATATTCAAAAATGGGACGTGCATTCGATAGGTACAAATTTTCTTTTTGAATAGCATCCCCGATCATGTTGGTCAGCGTCATACCGAACACATATCACGCGAACTATAAAATCACCTTCGCAATCTAATCGCGTTACTTGAACCTTGAAAGCTACAATACTTCCGGAGCGAATTGTTGGGAACATATCTCGATAAACCCGATGCTAGTAGAACACTCAAATTCTTCCTCCAAAATTGTTTGCAAATTTACACCTGTGTAGCTATATTTTTCAATACTAAACCCATCGTCACAATCACGACTGTTGCCCGAATCATACAGCAGCGAGTCTGCCTTCACAACAACAGATTTTTTTCATTCAGCACCAACACGCGGAAACGAACGAATCAAGCCAAATCAAGACAGCTTATGCAAAATAGTTGCCGTAGGACGCGAGACTTACGCTAGTCCCGCTACGATAACAAGCGTTTTGGTTGCCTCTTGAGCGCTTTGAGAAGAAGTCTTCGAAATACCTCTCTCGTGGGGATACCATTTTGGCACCCCTGCCACGGCTGAAATAACAATCCGTTTGAAACACCTAGATTAACGAAACTTTAGTGCTAGCTAGAGCATACAGACGTCTCTGCATCGTGGTAGTATAATGGAGAAGAATTATCTTTTTACAAACTCAAGAAGTCAACCTGCTTTAAGTGTTGATTTGCTACAACGCGCAAGGCAATAGTCACTGCAATTAATGCGTGGCCCTGAAATTATCGTTTATAAGGGTAATGAATCTTGGATCATGTGATGGGAGGGCTAGATATATCCCGATAGGATCTAACGGTATACATTTGGGGTTTCTAAAACCTTTTTCATTAAAAAGTGATATTGGAAAAAATTACCATACTTCTTCATTTTAGTAGTATTTTACGTTTTTGGCCTATACGCCGTAATACTGAGGTGCATCAAACCGTTACTACGAAATTACCGACCCTTTTTGCTCCCAATCTCGAGATGCCTTACATCAGTTAGTGCCGCCTTTCATCGAATGATGTATAGCTTCCATTTTGCATTAATATATTTGAACAAAAAACACGATTTATGGAATTGCAAATTGTCATTTGTCTTATAAGAGGGCCTCAACTCCCTTATATGTTGTACTCAAATTATGATCTTCATCTCTTAATAACCTTAGGCTTTTATAGTCGTCGAGTGCCGGGATATTTTAACTCTACCTCAGAAATGCTGCGCTCGCGGCTTAAACATTTTTTTTTTTGGAGTGCCTTGAGGAAATGCTTTTCGACAGTGAAGTGTAGGATGAGACAGACAAGACACCAAAAAAGACGTACCCGTCTCTCTCAGGAGGGGACTCTCCGGTCCGTCCGTCCGGTCTCTCGCCGCCTTGGAGACTGACTATCGCAACAGATGGCTAAATGCGGCAGATATAGGAATCCTCCTGTTTCCCGTAACAGTGAGGCTTACTCAATCGTCACCGCTTTGTCTCTCACGTATAGCCATTTCCGAATTATAAAAGGGTAAAGTACTCCTCACAAAAGAAAAATGCGACCCGTCACATTCAGTCGCCGATTGCATACATAACGGGAACCTCTCCTCTTCCCATTCCCCTGCCGGGCACCTGTGCGATCCCCTTCTTTATGTTAATATAATTATTTTGTTTCTGTAGAATGGGAGATACAGCTCTAACCACTAACCATTTTTGTTTTCCCGTCGGATAGTTGTTTTTTTTTTTTTTTCGAGGGATTTCACTTCGAAACAGGTACTCCCCCCCTCCCCCCCCCCTCAAACCTCCACCCCCCCCCCCCCCAAAAAAAAAAAATGAAAATGCTGTGTTTGGGTAGTTGTGGGGGAAACATCCTTGATTGTCATTTCTCAGTTTCCCTTAGGTAAACAAGCTTCTGACGGCATAATCGCTTGGGCAGGAGAATTCATCAAGTAAAGGGAACTGTTAGGGGCTTCATTGTCTACTCACCTTATTGTGATGTCACACACTGCTGCTCTTGTCGGAACGCGGTTAGCAGTGCGGTATGGAAAAGTTAGCTAGATGTGACTTGGCACAGTGTCTGGTCTTTTTTAACTGCGAAGAAAGAAAAGAAGAGTGGATTAGGATAACATCAGCCCCTTATATTTCTTTGTGCTGATGCTTCTCATTAACCAATCACCCATAAGATTATGGTGTACTCAAGAATTGATTCAAAGTGTTTATCTTCAGAGTACCGTAGGCAAAATCACGTCCCTTATGTCATGATAAGGCGGTTGCACTTGATGCGGACGGGGGCATGGCAGATATATCGCGCTTGAAGAAAACGCTCCCGTGCATGCGAAGTGGCCACGGGAGTAGTGGTCAAACGTTCCCGTATATAAGCTATGTGTTTGTTTATCAGTTTCTAGTGAATCTGTTTAATAACAGTTGTCGTAAGTGGTTTGTTGTATTGTAAATGAATTTCATGATCGCAACAAGTGCTATCAAAGTTCCAAAAACGATCTCAGTCACAGAAGAGACGACAGCCGAATTACAAAACTATAAAACTGAAAACTAAAAGCCACTACGATATCGTTTTGGTTTATTAAAGGTAGCCACACACTCATACGAGAAACGGAACCATTGTATATAAACTGAAAAGAGCTCACGTTAACGCTTTTGAACCACAGGCGCTGGCACCTCAACAGCTAGTCCGAACATTAGGCTTAAGTACATTGATTGCTTTCTTCTCGTAATCAAAACAGGCTGTGTCACAGAACTGGAGAAAAAAATTCAGCGAATCACACAAGCACGTCAGCAAACGCCGGCAATTGTTGCTCATTGTATAAAAGAAACAATGACATCCAGATTCTAACGTTGCACAAGTCTATGTTTTGTCATTTTTGGCATCCATGAAACCATATTATAATTTTTGTTTGGCAGAAGCATGGCCGTCATTAGTAAATCTGAATGCAAAACGAGCGACAGTTCTAACAACAAGTCGGATTTTTGTTCTTGGAGGGGCGAGGATGGTTTTGGTTTGGTAGTATAATATGTTATGCTGAGGGAAAGATTTGTCTCCTAAGCAACAAGGGTAGCCATCCACGGAAAATAGCACATTCTCGCTGCACTTTAAATGATGCATTGCCACACTTTCTTTCTTATATTTTTCAACCTGGCAAGTACTGCAAATATCTCTGTGTAAAATAACTAAAGCGTGATCCTCTGAATATAGACCTGAAAGTACCTCCGAAAATAATTTTTTTTACACCAAGAGCGAGTTGGTTTACACATTTTTTTTTCACAAATGTAATACAGCTCTGCATTTTGTACTTTCGTAAGGCAGCAAATATAACTATTCGACTCAATTTAGTAGGCATAGCGAATTTCCAGGCGCGCATAGTATGCAAGGGTAATCGTACGATTGTGTTAAATAATTAAAGAAAATTTCTTCTTCGTCTTTTAATTTTTCAACATATACATATGGTTCCAATTAGAAGCGTTAGAGCGGCACCAAAAGCAACTAAATCCGTAAAGTTTAGAAGAAGCTGAAACACAATGGAAGCGCCACGGTGCCCTAAATTTACCAATCTAGTGCGAAAACGTGCAGGCTCGTTTTTCCGTCTTTTATCTTCCGTGTTCTCTCACCGCCAAGCTTGTACGTTATTGCGCGAGTGGTAACTTTTACACACTACCATGTTTCGCACGCACTGAAAATCGTTCTAGACTTCATTAATGTATTGGTTTTTAGTTACTCTCACTAAGTGTCTAATGAAACCAGCAATTTAGTTTCACAACTTCTGACGTAATTATTAAATTTTAGTTAGTTATCTAATTATCGTAACCATTACCGGTTATATAAGACCCCTGTCTGTATAATACACGTGAACAAAGTGCATTTGTGTAGCTTTCACTGTGTTTTTTTAACCAAATATTTAAAACCCATAACAAAACACCCTACATACTGCTGAGATTGGGAATGCCATAAGCTGAACATAATTTAAGGGACAGATACATGGCATGAACAATATCACTACTTACAGTACTAAATATTAAAGAAATAACTTTCAGCCTTTCCGCAGTTTAGTAAAGAAGGAAAAGCAGCGGAGCTGCTCTTCCTTCGCAAGGGAATCTGAAGCGCTCGGCGCAGTGTAACTTTAGGCGACAGCGGCCTCGCGGCGGTTACAAAACCACTCACGCTGCTGCGCACTTCGCCGCTCATTCCGTTCCCGCTTTTCTTCTCTCGGAGAAATGTCGTTACAATCTATGAGCGACGGCGGCAACCAGAGTTTTGTGCCGACATTTCTTTGCGGGTGACATGATCCTGGGGAAACTAGCCCTTAACAGCTCCGCTGTGAAAGCACAGTACGAGCTCTTTCGTCTTATTGTATTATTTCTTTATTTATTTAGTCTCAGTGCCGTTAGGCGTTTCACAGAGGAGTAACGGAAAACGTCTGAAAAACGTGTAGAAGGTAGAAGAGTTATGATGGCCAATGATCAAACACCGCAGACTTCAAATAATGCGGCCGCTGATCGAGACGATGGACGCAGGAAGGTGGTTCCAGTCCACGATAGTCTTGAGGACAAAGAAGTCGAAGTACTGGTTAGTCCTACAACTGGGCACGCCAACGTTCAATTGGTGGTCGGACCAAGGTGGCAAAAAGGAGGGGGCTGTAAAAGTGACTAATAAAGGTTGTCGTTTGCGTAATAAATATTATGAAAGGTTCAGATTCTATTGATGCAACGTCGACTAGAAAAGTAAGAAAGATTTTTTTTTTTTCATTTGAGAGACGCTAGGTAAACGAAATAACTAGACAATACAAAATAGCCACAGCGATTCTGGATAGATTCGAGGATTAGAACGAAGGAATCAATATGAGGATCCAATACAGATTGAGGATACTGAATTTTGGAGCGCACAGTGTATAATATAATAACAGTTTTAATGAAATCGGAGCAAGAGAGAAATTACGACGAAGGAAACCGACCATTCAAGATGTGTCTGCCAGGAACAATTAGAGGTAATATCAACACTAATATATGCATATGTATAAACGGAAGACAATGGGGCATATTTAAGGAGACGTAGAGACGGATTTGATTGATTAGTTCGACTTGTGACTTTCATTACCTTCGATTTGTAAACATTGAATTTCATAAGCCAAGTGGCATACCATAAAAAAAAAAAAATCTGCTGAAGGATAGATTCGTAAGGGAAGTTTGAAATTTCTTTATATTAAACGCCATCATCAGCAAACTGTTTAGTAGATGAGACAATCGAATCAGTAAGGTCATTAATGTTGATGAGGAAAAGAATGGCTCCTAGGGTGGATCCTTGAGGGACGCCTGGTGACACAGAGTAAAGTTGAGAGTCATGCTCACTAGTTGATACATACTGGTTGCGACCACGCAAAACACACTCGATCCATCCAAACATATTGCTCTCGAGATTAGGTTTGCTAAGTTTGTAAAGTAGTAGTCGATGTTGAGCTGCATGAAAGGCTCTAGTGATGTCAAGAAAAGTACAATGAACGGCAGATGAACGGTCTAACACAGTGAACAAATCATTAGTATAACGACTAGTTGAGTTTCACAGGAGGACAGGTAGATATAATTTATTCAGACTTCAGAAAAGCTATCGATACGGTAAGTAATAAAAAAACTAATAATTAAATTGAAATCTGTCCTAAGAAATAGTAACGTTGTTGACTGGACAGAGGCATGTCTCACAAATCGCTAACAATTTGTAAGCATTGACGAACACAGGTCTGACATATGTGATGTCGAGTCGGGAGTGCCTCAGGGCTCAGTGCTTGGGCCCTTGTTTCTTTTGTATAATAACGACCTTATAGTTGATTAATCTATCCAAGCCAGATTGTTTACAGACGATTGTATTATCTACATTGAAGCGAAGTCTGTCGTCAATCAAGTGAGGCTAAACGACTATTTGTCTAAAATAAACACGTGGTGTGTAAAATGGCAAATGTCGCTAAATACACAAAAACTGAATGTATGACCAGAAATCACAAACGCCAGCGTTTAGAGTTTAGCAACACACTCCAGGGTGCTACCTTGAATAAGGTGACTGAATATAAGTATCTTGGCGTCACAATAACTGCACACCTAGGGTGGACAATCCACATTGATAATGTTATGGGTAAAGCCGATGAAAAGTTAGAATGTATCCGGCGCACCCTCGAAGTTGCATCACAAGAGACTAAGTTGATTGCATACAAGATGTTAGTTCGCCCGATGTTAGAATATGCATGCGAAGTCTGAGACCCATATGTGAAGAACCTGCAGTTTAAACTGGAAAGTGTACAGCGACGCGCATTGCGTTTTATTTACTCGCGTTACCGAAGGCAGGATTCGGTCTCCCCCCTTTATGACGGAGCCAGTTTACCGCTGCTTCAACTCCGCAGAAAAAAAAAGAGAAAAGTTAAAGCTTTTTTTTTCTCAACAATATCAACAATTTGATTCTTGTTAACAAGCATCGGTATATAGATAAAGATTCGTCACGAGCAACCAGGAATAAGCATGAACGGCACGCGAAAGATGGGCGGTTGAATAAGGAATGATTTAGATACTCGTTATTCTTGCAAACAGCACGCGATCAGAACCAGTTCCAAGAAAGTGCTGGTGATGCACGCGGTCAATTGGAGTTCGGAACGCTTATTTTCTACCGCTCGGTCGCGCTTCAGGCTGTTTGTTGGGTTACTCTTATTTCACTATCGTTGCTTTTTTATGCTACTGTTTCTATTGTGATTCTGTCGGTGCAGGACAGCGTAGACTGGGATTGTTGAGCTGTTCATTATCTTCCACCCCTACCTTGGTCCCGTAAGGGACTGATGGTATGTTCAAATAAATAAATAATGTTTACGAAAACCGTACGGCCAGGTTCCAGAGAAGGAATTGGTTTTAGGAAAATGAACGGACTGGAGTATATCACATGTTCAAGTATTTTGCTTGGAATGAATGCCAAGGAATTCGGTATGGCATTACAAGGGTTAAAACCTTACCAGATTTGCGCACCGGAACTACCTTGCCAACCTTCTACTGATCGTGTAGGGTGGTAGACTACAATGACTGCTTAAAAGTCTGAGACAAGGCGACAA